CGTTATGATCCTCTTTATTATCTGCATACAGCTCAGTGTCTTTTAATGCAGTTTTGATCTTGATGTGAGCAGTTTAAGTAATACCATACATCATATAGTATGTTTTGGAGTGAATGAGAAACAAAAGGAGAGTTCTGATTTTCGTTCTTCCTGCAGCAGGCGGGGGTGAAGCTTCCCTCAGAGGGCAGCAGGTGACCCCTCATGTAAGACACCAGATAAATCTGTTGAGGAAGACGCCCTTGGGCTTGATGGATGTTTTGACCCTGCGGCGCGTCCTCGCCTTTGGAGTAGCAGCGAACGCACACCGAGGTACGCTGCACACCGCACACAGCTTACCGTTTCGTCAGCATAAACCGACGTGCGACGCCGTAAACACACATTTAACTGTACAATATGCTTTCCTGAGCTGTAGCTTGTTTGTCCTTGTGTGTGTGTGTGTGTGTGTGAGGCCCTGTAGGCCAGCTGTCCTTGTCACTCCCCTGAAGTTATTGTTAGAAACAAATGGTGCCCGCGGGATAGTTTTCATGACACATGTTGGGCTGCTGGTTCTTTTTTAAGTAGTTCCACCAAAAGCAAAGCAGATTAAATGTCATACGCACTTTGGGAGACAATCTGCCAGTGTGTGGTGTTAGGTTTGTCCAAAGCCTCGAGAGGAGGAACTGCTGAGTCAGGAACTGAGAACGTTACCTGGAAGTTTATGTATAAACCAAATCAGTAGGTTAAGCACATAATAAATATTTTTACATTTATATTTCAAGTGTAAAAAAATGAAGAATGAAATGGAAACACTCAAGTAACACTTGACTCGACATCAAAACTATTATCCAACAACTTTGGATTTATGCGGTAAGGAATCAAAACAAAGCTGTGTCTCATGTTTTAGAATCGTCCGTCTTTTTCTTTGCTTCCTACTTGATGACATCGTCTCCTGAAGCTTTTCCAGCAGCCTTAAAGGAGTTCTTGCTGCTTTTACCTCCCTCTGCAGTCCAACTCGTCCCAAACCATCTCAGTTGGGTTCAGGTCAGTACACTGGGGAGGTCAGGTCTTCTGATGCAGCGCTCCATCACTCTTGGTCAAACAGTTCTTACAGCCTGGACCTTGAAGCTGTTTCCTGGGTTGCTGTCCTGCTGAAAAACAAATGATGGTCCCACAGAATCCCGTGGGACGGCGTGTCACGGCAGAGTGCTGCGGTGGCAACTGTTTCCTTGAATTCATAATTAGAAAACGACATCACAGCTCCTCCTCAGTGCTTCATGGTGTACATGCAGCTCTCTGCATTTTTGATTACTGCCACGGTTGGTATTTAAAAAAACAAACAAAATCCACATCTCCTATGGTCTGATGTTCATACCTTGTGTCTCGTAGTCCGAGGGTTAGTTCTGTTCTCGTCTTCTTCAGTAGTGGTTTCTTTGCAGCAGTTTGACCATGAAGTCCTGATTCACCGTCTCCTCTCAACAGTTTATGTTCAGATGAATCTGCCGCTTGAATTCTGGGAAGTGTTTATATGCGCTTTAATCTGAGCTGCTGGTAGCTCTTGATTACTGAGGCTCTCCTCTGCAGCAGGAGTCTGTTTCATCACAGTATTCAGTTGGTTGTTGAATTGCATTTGAAGAAATGTTCATAGTTCCAACCCTGAAGTTGTCCAGGTTGTCTGACCTTCATGACCTCAAGTAATGATGGACTGTTGTTTGTCTTTACTTAGCTGAGCAGTTCTTGCTGTTGTATGGATTTACTACAACCTTCTAAACCCCAAATCCCACTTGCAGGTTTATAAAGCACGGTTTCGGGCCGCCGCTATAGCTCACCTGGTTGAGCTGGCGACCCATATATAGGGGCAGCGGCCATGGATTCGAATCCCACTCATGGCCCTTTGCTGCAGCTCATTCTCCTCCCCCACTTTCCTGTCTGTCTCTTGACTGTCCTATGTAATAAAGGCCATAAAATAAAATAATAAAAAGCACGGTTTCTTTAAAACAAACACCAAATCACTTAATTTATCAGAGCCACTAACTGTAAAAGCAGCAACTTTCTAATAATCCTCGAACTAATCATGGATAAATCGTAAAATATTTCAACTGCTCCTCACAGTACTTAAGAAAACATACTGTAGGCTAAGCTAACTGGCAGCTAGTTTCATATTTCCCAAACCGTGTACTGTGTAATTAGGTGTATCCAGAGTTTCTTGAATGGTGGCACGAGACATGAAGAATCCCGAGGGCACGAAGCGTATTGTAAGACATACCACCTTTATTAAATGCACAGTATCACAAGGAACATTTCCATTAATTGTGGATAAGCTACTCACATGATGCACAAAGCATTGAATTGATTGATAGAACTGGCTGATTAAAGCAGGATTAAATCTGCCAGGAGAGTACACACACACACACACACACACACGCTCACACACACTCTCTTGCATTCAGATGTATGCGCCAGTGCACACACACACACACACACACACACTCTTTGTATTCACACAGTAAGTAAAATCTGTTATCTGCACAGGAATGAAAACTGTCATCTTTTTTCTTCTTTTACCATATATTTACAAAAAAATCATTAACGTCCCCTCCCCCCAAGAGATAGATTACATTCAAAAAAGGTCCCCACCCTTCTAGATTACATTCAAAATAATATACTATTCATGATGCAAAGTCACAGTTATTCATCTGAAAGAGGATCAAAATAGGCTACAGTCAGTCAGAGGTTGAGTGGTGGGGTTGGCCAGGAGGCGACCTTTTGACCTCCTCGCCATCGGCCACACGCCTGCCGGGACGCCTGTCGGCCAGGAGAGGTCCTGATGTTTAGAGTCTGTGGTTCTCCTACAGACAGGCAGCATCTCAGGCAGCCTCTGTGTGAGTTCCCCATCACAGTGGAGAGGAAAAGAGGAGATCTTTTTTTTTTTTTTT